AATGATTGTGTCCCATTGATTGCTCTCAGTCCACCAGGTTTCTGTGATGCCTAATATATCAATATCCTCCTTTATCACAAGGCACTCTAGTTCACCCATCTTGTTATTTAGACTTCTAGCATTTGTGTACAAGCACTTTAAAAACTTGTCACTGTTTATTAGTCTGCACTTTTCTCATGTGTCAGATTCTTTTTTATGTGAATGTTTATCATCTGATCTGGCCCTTAGAATATATTGGTAGTATTATTATTATAATATAATAGTGGTACCTATTATAATCTGTTATTTAAAATTTTCCAACAAGTAATTTGACACAGAAGAAATATAGCAACATGGATAACTGAATTCCACAGATTAATATGGTATATGGTATATTGTTATTTATTTTTAAATCCACTACCATTTGTCTCTCTTTAATGTGTTTCTTTACTAGAACATCTGGTGGTGACTGTACAGAACTACTAACATTTGGGGCCCTGGAGCTATAGTTTTGTTGTATTTATCTTCTTACAGTAATATTTTCTCATCTTATGTCATCTATGTAGTGACTTGTTAGCAGAAGCATTTGCATGGAGACTATTGCTGTACAATACCGTATGGCTGTTTTCACACACACGTAACTACCCCTGTGGTACGAAAGGCTGTGTATTGTTACCAGGGGGGAAAGTAAGGCGATCTGGTCCGGTACTGCATACAGGAAAAAAGTGTCCACTGGTAGCAGCCTGTACCACTGACTTTAAAGCGCTGCCCTGCTTAAAGCGCCGTCGCCGATGGGGGGTGGGCACAAAAGGGGCAGCGACATTAAAGCGCTCCCAGAGCCAGCCCCATACAGGTAAGAGCTCAATTTTACTTTCACCCTGATTGTTACTGTCTGGCATGGAGACTACACAGCTGGACTTTCCCAGACGTTGAGGGAGTTCTGATTTGGTTCATTAGAACATCAGGACCAGCTGCAAAGTTTGGCTCTGAATCCAAACTTCCCGCGCAGCTGTGGGGAGCCCGGGGCTGGGGCTTGGCCCCATCGCTTCCAAAGGGGCTGTGTTAGGCTCTGGTCCGTGGGTTTGACAGCGGGCGGCTGGGGACGGGGAAGGCAGCCAGGAGAGGCAGCCAAGGCGTTTACCTGCTGCACCGCGGCCACTCGCAGGTAGGAGTCCAACACCAGCAACAAGGGCACGTGGACGTTTCGGCCGCCGAACAGCCTGGGCGCTGGGAGGGGGGAGAGAGGAAACAAAGCGAGAAAGAGCCCGTTACTCGCCGGGGCAGAGCGGGGGAGCCCTAGAGGGCGCCCAGCCCGCCCGGACAGGAACCTCACCGCGGGGCCGGTGGGCCAAGGCCAGCAGGTCCTCCAGCGTCTGCAGCAAGCTCTCCAGCTGCTTCCCCTCCTGCACGTTTGTGAGGCGAACGATCAGCTTCCTCAGGGCGGCGTCCTCCCTCTCCTCTTCCTCCTCCTCAGTGCAGCTGCCGCGACTGGCCATGGCTGACCGCCTCCTCATCCCATGCAGAGCGTCTGGTCTGGGAGCTCCTCGGGCTGCTGAGGCGGCGCCTGGTCGTAACTGCTGCCGTATCTATCCCACGGCTCAGCCCCGCCGCTGCAGTCATCGGGCTATTTTTGAGCCTCTCCTCCGTCCCCCCGCCCCCTTCGCCTCAGCGCTGACATAATCTGCGGCGAGACCCGAGAGGCCCTGCCCCGGCTTGAGGTGAAGGGGGTGCAGCGCTGCCCAGCTACCCTTAGGGGGCGCTGACGCGACACACTCTCTCGGCAGGGGCATTTCAGGGGAAGAATCAGCCAATCAGTTTTCAGCCGCTGACGGCTCTGCCGTCCAATCGAATGGGAGCGCGGGGAGGCCCGCCCCTTCGTGCCTCTCGGCTGCAGTGGGGGGGCCGCTGCCGCCCCAGCTTGTGAATGTCGCGTATTGTTGCTGGCTGTGGTTGGAGTCTCGGGGTTTTGGGCGGGAAGCAGGCGAGGGCTGCAGCTGTGGCGTCCCCTTCTGGGATCGTTGGGGGGCGGGGCGAATGGGTCTCGCAGACCCAGCACGGGCCGGGGGGGGGCAGCGAGCTGGGCAGTCACCCGGACACGGCTCGGTGCCCAAAGCGCTCGGCTCCGTGCCTCCCCCACGTGTCTCATGAGGGGCTACAACTGAACTGCTTTCCCGATGGGGGGGAGGGTCCCGGGCAAATTATGCCGCAGCCGCTCCCACCGGCAGGGGCCCTCGGCTCTGATTACTTCTCAGAGGGTGACTGGTGCTGGCACATAATTCCCAACCAGCGGCTGCTAAAGTTAGAACATACGCCATGTGTGGCTAGTCCTCTGATCTTCCAACTCCCAAGTACCAAGCTGTCCTCTGCAGTCATCTCTGATACTTTGAAAGGAGGGCCTTTAAAAAGCGAGATTTTAAATCATTGAACAATTGGCCAAATCCATCTCCAGAATGAGGGGGCCTTCAAATAAAAAAGCACCTCCCTTTCACTGAGTGAGGGCTGGCAAGTCTGTGAATGAACTCTGTAGCCATCATCCAGCAATTAATTATGTTACAGAGGTTTCAGAAACATCTAAACATACTGCAAATATCTTAAGTATTAAATTAAGATTTAGAATCAAATCTCGACTTTTCATCTTCTCACCACACATGCCTTACTTGATTATATACAATTATCAGAAGTCAATTTAGCCAAACAATTGGTGAATTCAGTAAGGAGTGATAATGTATGGTAAACCAACTGAAATGTGATCTAAAACTTGTAAACTTGATGTAGCTCTGTGGTGATGTGTTCTTGTGACAGATAAACACAACTAGAAAATGTATAAGTTTCAATGTATTAACCAGCTTGTTAGTGTATCTGTCTTTAAATTCATTAATATGTCTGTCACTTCTCCAGAATGCTTGTAACGGGTGCCAATAATCACTTTAAAAAATCCTCTAAAAATGGGGCTTGCAACAATAAGAGTAAAAAATAGGAATACTTTCACTGACTTAACATTTTACTAAAGATTAACAAATGAACTGTTTTGAGAAAAGTGAAGCAAGTAGGAGATAATGTAAAAACAGATAACTGAACATGAACACCATGATGTATGCTTTCTGTAAGTTTTCCCCAACTATTGCCTCATTTTGGAAATATTCTCTTGCCTCACGTCTTTCACACGTTCTCTTTTGCTGCTTTTGCAAGAAGAAACCTTGTACTATCATCAGTTCTGTTTTTCACCATTTTTAATTGCTTCTAGCCATTTATAATCTGTTACTACAGATCGCATTTTTAGTAAGTAAATTGTGACCAATACATGTGATCAATACAAAACTGTGCTGACTAAAGGAAGAGAAGGTGAATATTTTCAGACCAATTAAGTTTATCTCTGTTAAACAAGATGAATGTCTTATTCTTTTTGAAGGAACAACTAGGAGTGTGGGGTTCTTTGAAGCTTTCATGATTACTATATCCTAATGCCCTGTTACTGATAAACATGCACAATGCTTAATGTGAAAACACCAGCTTAACTCCTCTTTTTAAAATGTTTCATTTTTTAGACACAAGCATTCTGAAACATCTACTAATCACTAGTTACTGCAAATGCTTGTTGACTAAAGTATCCGTGGCCTATTAGTATCAACTTGATCCTAAAAATGTAGGGCAATGCTGTCTGAATCAAGCCATATTTTTAAGCGTTTGTATACAAAGAAACTTTTGTCTTGGTTTCTTAATTATAGCCCAGAAAACCACAACTGCATTTGTGACATGAAGGGGGAAACAAGCTAAAACTTCAAGCACTAAAAAGACTATATGAATCTGTGTCAGTCTGATGAAACACTGATTCATTAGAAACTAGTTGAATGCTTTCTCATTTGAACTAGTGCTAACTCCCATAATGACAAAGTAGATTGAATATAAGTAGATACATATCAATCAGCACATCTAATACAGTTTTCTTTCTGCAGAATTAAATAGTTCAAACACTATTTTTAAGGAATGGTGCTGGATTCTTGCATTCCTGACTGTCTGACAGCAGCTAGCATCAGAGACTTCAGAGGAAAGTTTAAAATATGCCATAAATTGTAACGTTGGTAATTGCACCTTTGGGAAGACTCTAATATCAAGCATGAGGTTTTATATCTCCTCAAATGCTTATCCTAACTAGTATAAATTGCACATCTTTACTAATCCTAGTCACATAACTGTCTAATCCTAAATTGAATCCTGCTGTGGATGGTACTCTTTCCTTTTTGAAGGTTGATTATAAGGGCATTGTAATAGGATTTTAGTGTTCATGTGTGTAGCTGCCATAAGCTAATTTTAACTCTTTTATGGGAAAAGCTTGTCATCTAGCTAATCAATGAGATCATTACTGAATTACATTGCATACTGAATTTTGAAAAAATTATTGAAAAAAATACTAGATGGTTCTCATGTAATTATTGAATAAGACAGTCTCCTCTTTTTAAAGTTAAAAATTAATGATTCATTATAATTAGTCATTTGGAAACATATGACTATCTGAATATCTTCATACTTCGTAGCTCTTCTCTGGGCAGAATCAGTATTTACTTCTATTTCAAACTGGTTGAATTTTGGTAAAATTGGCCTGCTTTCTTTTTATGAAGCACAAAAGAGAAAAAAGTAGAAATACACAAGTGCAGTGGAGATAAAATTGGAATGTCAGTGAGTATAACTGGGATGAAATTATAAATTTGGTACTTAAGGGGAGATCACAAACATTCCAGTTTTTGATGCACAACAGCCATAGTGCACCAAAACATTTTACTTGCACTTGTCTAGTTGTAGTAACGCCTAATGGAAGTGTACTTGGTAGCAGCAATTAAGAATTCTGCAAAATGCAGTTAAAAATCCAACACAGATCACCTAGAGAAGAAGGTCTAGAAGTATAGTAGCTAGCAATCCTGAGACTTCTAGGTAAAGCAAGTCACTGTAATTTCTTTGAAAATGTACATTATTTACATTCTGATTATCTACAGTCTTAAGATTTTCCCATAAGACCTCTTTCATTAGTGCAAATATTTTACTATATTTGACAATGCTACGTGGACATAAGGCAAAATACTTTAAGAACTTAAAAAATTATGTGACAGGGAAATAGCTTGCACATTGTGCAGATACACCTCTACCCCGATATAACATGACCTGATATAACATGAATTTGGATAAAATGCGGTAAAGCACCGCTCTGGGGTGGGGGGCAGGGCTGAGTGCTCCGGCGGATCAAAGCAAGTTTGATATAACGCAGTTTCACCCATAACGCGGTAAGATTTTTTGGCTCCCGAGACAGCGTTATATCAGGGTACAGGTGCATATTAAAAGCATATGTTCTTAAAATATATTCTAAGTGTTATCCTACTAAGCTGTCCTTTAAAGAGAAACACTGTTAAACCTTGTTTGCAGCACACATTTTAATTTGTAAATGCTGTGTATAAGAGGGAGATGCTATCCTATTTAGCATGAAATGACTTACTTGAATAGAATGTGTGCAATACATCCTGGCTCCATGGGCTTTGTCTGTCCTCAGAAGCTTCTGTATATAATTCTGCAATAGGAAATTTAGATCAGGAGCAAATATTCCTCATCTTTTTCTCCAATTTTGTGTTATTCCTGGCAAAGGAAAATCCCTTCATGGATATAGCATGTAAGTCAAACATGCTGAAACTGTTTGATAAGAGTAAACATGTAAACTAATGATTAAGGTTTGAGTAAGGAAGTATTTCTGGTAACAAAGCAATTCACTATAAATAACACGTATAACAAATCATTACAATTGGACAAAGAGAAAAAATAAAAATATCATTAGTTAAGTGTCTGATCTTGCAATAGTTACATAGGATTTTATGCAAACAATATCTCTTGACTGAGCTCATTCACACAGCCAGGCAACAATAGGACTATTGATGTCAGTGATCTTTGCCTGCCTCAGGACTGCAGAATCAGGCCTCAAAAGTATGGACAACTTTTATTAAATAACTTTTCATAGGTACTATATTAAAATCTTTTTGAAAATATATTAATCTAATTTTCAGAAAGTTCTGGTCAGATCAAATTGTATTTTTTCTGCATTTTAAAATGGTGGTGGTTTTTTATTGTGAACACCAGTGCAATTTTCAAAATTCTCATGATCTCAGCAAACAAGTGCAGATATAAGAAAAGATTTTCAAAAATGGAAAATGATGTAGCAAGACAATTGCAATACTAAAAAAACTCTGAAATTTAATACAAAAAGAAATACCGTATATACAAACAAAACATATATATTTGTGTGTGTATAGTCTAGTCTCTTCCAAGAATATTGAAGTTTATTTTACTATCTATTTTACTTACCTGAAAACTTGTATTTTTAACTTCAAAAAGTACTGAGCACAATAAAACTTGTCACTCTTATTCCAGTAGCTTTTGACTTTTCCCCCCACGGGCATTTGCTCATCCTTCAATATTCTGTTGAACAAATTGCAGGGATTATGAGTGAAGTACCCAATTTAAAAAAAAAAGACTTGAAGATATCTAAAATTTCAGAAGATAGAAATAAGGAGAATATAAGGAAAATAATCTATGCTATCTGTTCAATACCCAAATCCTCTGAAAGTTGTATTTACGATTCAGGCAGTATAAAATTGTAAACTATTTGATGTTTTTTGTTTTGTTTTTAATTCCTGAAACAAGAATACGGCATCTAAATTCTTTTAGTCTTTTGCAGAGGAACACAGAGTCTATCATTACTGCAACAATTAG